CCATATTATGTGCTTAAGAATAAACCGAGCAAAATGAAGACGACAACCTAGACAACAACCCAGCAAAATGAAGAGGACAACCTTGGCAAGTGCATACTACTCAAGAAGGTAGGGTTTTACGAATAAAGTTGCAACTCACTTATAAAGGTACAATTGTAAGGAAATTTAAAATTTAAAATTAAAATTTAGATATATAATTAAGAAAAATAAATTAGGAAATATAAGATGTGTTATTTTTATTTTTAATTAAATCAACAGAGTCGTTATCTTGTAAAATAAGAAAAAAAATTTGAAATATTATAAAAATAGTATATTATTTAATTAAATTATTTTATAATCGGATTTTTTTTTATAATCGCGCGGTTCGGGCAGTTTGAAAGTAAAACCACAAACCAAACCAATTATATCAGTTTTAAATTTTTATATTCCAAACCAACCCAATTTTATATCGGTTTGGTTTGATTTTTAATCGGATTGGATCAGTTTAGGTCGGATCAATCGGATTGGATCGGATATGAACACCCCTAATGAAACCTAATACGATTTCATTTTGAAATTTAATATAATTTTCGAATATAAAAAGAGTTATATCTTAATATTGCTCTAGAACCCTCGAATCGAGACCACAAAGGAAAATTTTGTATTGTACATATCCGTGTATAATATAAAATGATCTCCTTTCCACTTAATTTGCTTTAGTAGAAGCTAAACAATACCATGTTAATTAGATTTTACAACAAAAGAAATATGTTCTTTTAAAGTATATATATTAAGTTGATTAAATTAAATGCATCAAATAACATGATAATTTATTGTGATTATAATTTAATAAATAGTAAATATCATTATAATTCTAGTCATGCTTGAAAAAAAATAAATGCAAGATTTTAAGATTTTTTTTTATTTAACGCATGATTTTGAGATCAAATTTTAATTACAAAGTCATGCCAAACTAATTTTTATTAAAATGAGTCTATAAGTACTTGCATTCATCCCTAAAATAGCTATGAGACTCCTTGATAATACCTTTATGATTGTCACATCCCCTATCTCCCTTTGGTTCTTGTGCATCAGGCCATCATCAATGTTTCACTTGTTTTGCAAGTAATGCCTAATGCCAAATAGCATTAGGGCCATATCATCTGTGTATTAATAGAGTCTTGGTAGCTATGCCACCGGGACCCAAATATGTGGAGGGCCATATCATCTCCGAAGACAAACACTGGCCACTCCAGACAAGAATATTGTTCTCCATAGTTCATGGACAACATCTTGTTTTTCAAAACCTTTTTCTAGCATACTACCAATAAAAACTCATCCAAGCATCTCTCTCCCATGTTTCTTGGCAACATGTCTCCTTATTGATTCCTTGTAATTGGCAATAAGAGTTATTACTACAGCCGACGTAGCTCCAAAAAACATTACCATTTAAAGTTGACCGGCAACCATGCCTATATAAACAATAATTATATAATTCCCATGCACCTTATTAGATTGACAAATTAAGATTCTACCTGCCTATCTTTCTTGCTTGCAGTATTTGCTAATCCATTAGATAGAGTAAACAAGTTTGTTGCCCTCCTTTGCTTTGTCTATATTTCAAAGCAAAAACTAGAAGCAGAAATGCTGAATGGGTAAAATCTTAATTTGTGAATCTAATAAGGTGCATGGGTTTCATATAATTATTATATATATGTATTAATGGTTGCAGGTAAACTCTATACGGTGATATTTTTTGGAGCTGCTTCGACTGTAGTAATAGGTCTTATTGTCAAGTACAGAGAATCAATACGGGACATATGTCGCCAAGCCTATGCCATTTTTGATACATGGGAGAGAAGCTCAGAGTTTTTATCGGCAGTATGCTAGGAAAAGGTTTTGAGAAACAAGATGTTGTCCATGAATTATGGACAACATTATTCTTGTTCGGAGTGGCCGGTGTTCGTCTTTTGGAGACAATATCGCCCCCCACAGATATGGGTCTCTTCGGTGGCATGGTTACCAAGACTCTATTAATGAAGAGATAATGAGGCTGTTTGGCAACGTTTAAAAGCACTTGCTTTAATGATGATATGTAATATTGGTTCTCTACAAGTAGATAATTGATGAGGTGGGTTTCTTTGTTTGCTGGAAAGGAGGATGGTGCATATTGCATTTCTGTAATGTACAGAAAGAAGGAGCATGTGTGATGTTTAATTAATTTACAGGTGCAGTAAGGGAAGGCACGTAGTTGTTACACTTGCCAATTAGGGTTTTTTTTTTTTTGAACAAGATGCAATTTGAGAGAAAGGAAAATGTCATCCATAGAGTTTGAAGATGCAACTTTGGAGAGGAGATCTTCACTTAACCAAGAGTCTTAATTATTAGGTTAAAGCGTGGGAATCACCAATTAAAGATTTTAAGAATAAAACACAAGAAACTAGTAATTAAAATTTACACATTAAAAGTAAAGAACTTTGATAAAAAAAATTTCAATTTTATGAAACTTTCGATAACAGTTTTCTATCCAGGATATGAATATTTATTTTTTCCCATATCTATCATCTCATGAAGATAACTGCTAAAATAATTCTCTGTTAGGAAAGATTTTCTTTAGAAAAAAATTGAGAGAGGCTAATTTTAATTTGTAATCCAAAGGTATGTTTCTTGGTTGTAATCCTAGGCCTTGGCAGATCCCTCACAACAGAATGTTTTTCTTCTGACTAAAGAGATATACTAAAATTTCTGAAAATCGAGGTCCTGTTAAAAGAAGATTTTCAAATTTTCCTCTCAATTTGCCATACGGCGGAAATGCACCATTGCCTTTCACTTTTTGGGACTATACTCTGTAAGCTACATTCTCCAAAGTATGAAATAGTTGTTGCAATATTTGTCTCTTTAAATCTTTAATCATCAGCCAGGAGGTCCTCCTTTGAGACATCATCCAGAATTGAATCAAAGGTTTTCTTCACAATGCTGACAAATTTGTCACCCTGCTTTGCAGAAATATATATTGGATGCAATCAGAAAGACCACGTTTGAGAATCTGGTGAGTGGATTTCTCATAACTAACCTACCTTCTTATTTTTCTTCAATGATTCCTCCAGTTGAGAGATTTTATCAGCACAAAGCTTCTCATTCTCAGATATTATATTCGTTTCTCTCTTCCCTAATATCAACCCATAATGCATTAGATAAAACAAGTTTCATCGAAACAAAAATATAGAGTTTGTTGTGGCTCACTCAGTTGCTCATATTTCTTGAATAGCATTTCCTTGTCTTCCTCGAATCTGGAAATAGTACCTGTCAAAGAGCATTTAGACTTAGCACATAACTAAAAGTAGCCACAAAAACTGGATTGTTTCCAAATATCATAGTTAAGGTTTAACATCATGGTCTTTGCAATCCTAAACTGAGATTTTGCAACCGTTATTCAGCAAACTAGGTTTGGTTATCAAATTGATACATGACGAGCTGCAGTTTCAACATTAACTGCTTAATTATTCTGAAGAGGTTTTATTTAACAATGAAGCGAAGCAGTATTTGGCATCCTTAGGTCAATATATTCTACTATTAGTACTGCCATTAAAATTTTTCAGTAAGTGGTAGAAGGACCTGGTCTTGCTCTGAGAAGAAAATTCAGTTTATTTTAAAAAGATAATGAAACTTTATGTTGGCCAGAAAGAATCATAGGCTCACAGCAATCAGATACTAGAATAAATAAATTGATTATTAAGAAATGAAAGCATGGATAGATGATGTGGCTAAGATGCTATGACTATAGGTTAAATCTCCTGCATTCTCTGCAGATCAAAAAAAAAAAAAGGGAAAAATCTCTTGCATTCTCGTTCTATATACTCCAAATTTCAGTCATGCATAGCATAAGGGATTAAAATCAAAGAAAAACAAATGCGTTTAACATGCCCACGGAAGTTAAAAAACAAAAATAATCAGAATTTAATGATCAAGGATGCTAGCTATGAAAGATGCAATCTACCAAAGATATTACAAAATACAAAGTGCACCTTGCAAGGCCTGCAGATGGGCAGATTTCTCTTTGCAGAACTTCTCATAAATCTCTTGGAACCTGGCAGCCTCATTCTTCAAGCAATTTTCACACTGCAGTACGTGGGCAATCACATATATTATGCCATGGATTAAATCTGGATTACAAGTCTGCTGTTAAAGCTGCCCTCTATGTTGTTGAACCCCCTCAATCTCAATGTACCTCTTTTGAACTCTTCGAAAGCGCCTTGGCAAAACTTTGTCTACAGTAATGGGCCGGGGTGAATTAGTTAATTTTCATTATGAGTAGAAGCAAAGACCAGATCAATAGTCTGGAATCAGCTGAGTGACATGTTTTGAATTATTCAAAGGCAGATTATGCATATAACTCCCTAGTTTACCTTTCCTTCTCAAGCTTTGCCTTCAGCTCATCATTTTTAGACCTTATCTCAGATGCCACACTGTCACCAAAAATCACGAATCATGAGACAAAATGCTTCAGGATTATTGATGTAAGAGGAATCATAAAAGAAGTAAAACATCCCAAGTAACAGAAACAATGTTTAATTGCAATCAAAAGGAGGACTGCATAAGATGATTAAGATGAATGACAATGAATCAATAGTAGCTATCCCAAAAAATTATCATCAAAGATCACATGTATTCACACAAACCAAATTGAAGGAAAGATTGCAAAACCAGTTAAATAATCAAATTTTAAAAACTAATTCATTTCATAGCTCTTTAAGCATCCAACATCTGATTTCATCAATTCAAATCTCTTAACACAGCAATTCTCTCATCAATAAACGATCCAAAATCAAGAGTAAGTGGTGAAATCAAAATTATAAAGAAATCCTAAATTATATACCGAATGAAAATCATCATGCAGCTAGTAAAATCGAAAAATATTCAACTGATTCGAAATAAATCTAACTAAAACAATATGAATTGGTATGACAGGCGATTCTGAGTTAAAAACGAAAGAAAAAAAATGAAAATAATTCAAACGGAGAGCGCGGCTCTCACACAAATTCTCCATGAATTATAAAAAATTCAGATCTAAATCGCTTGAACGAGAAGATCTACTCCAATTTCATATTTACCTAGAAATGGTCTCTTCTTTCTTCTGCTGACCATCCTTCTGTGCTTTCTCCCTGATCAGCTGTAGCGCAGACATAATCCCTTTCAGATCGCTACAATTTCAGCAATAATAGGTATCAAAACATCAAATTATTAAACAAAAAAAAAAACTAAAAAACATAAAAGGAGAGATCGAAAGAATAGTTATCGGTGCCTGGGAAGATCGGGATCGAAATCGTCGACGAGTCGGGTTTTCGGCTCCGATTTAGTGAGCATGCTCTCCGATCCTCGTTTTTTCGAGCTCCTCTGAATCGACATTGTTTGAAGTTGTTTCTGAGAAATTTGGAGTTGAAATCGATATGTGAGAATGAGTGAACTCTGAAGTTTCAATTTGTAAAGTTTAGAATCCGTCAATTCGATGAGTTTTTGGGAAATGAAGAGGTTATGTTTCCCGCGCAGTTAAGAGGCTCAGGTAGCATTCTATTTCCGAAATTCAAATTTGTGATTCGAGTCGGCCCAACAGGTATTGGGCCCCCAAACAACTGGGGAACATCCTGGTTTTCGCGTTTCCGGCCCTTTCTTTAAGCCTCTCAAATTTTACCTTTTTATTTTTTTTTTCATACATCAATATAATAAGTTATAACATTCTACTTCGAATAATCTTTGGTTTTGAAATTTCTAAATTATAATTTGAAATTTTTAAAAACTCGAGGCATTGCCTTAGCGCTAAGATCTTACCATCCATCTTTATGAATTGGTTATTCTACATTTCATTTTTCCTTTTTTTTTTCTTTTTCACTAATTTTTTTTTAGAAGTAGAAGTTGCAATTTCAATTCAATTCTCGTCCATATCATAAAATCAAAAAATCAAAATTTTACTAACAATTCACAGAGTGACGTACTAATTAATTTAATTTGTTACAAATTAATATTCTTAGTAGGCCTCTCTAAGAACATTATTTAAAATTAGTTGCCAAAAGGAAACCGATAAAAGAAAAAAAGAGTAATTGAAAAAAAAAAAAAAAAAACACACACATACTTAAGGAGTGCATGCATCATGCATTGACGACTCATTGTTCATGAACTCATATCATCAACAACAATCCAAAATTCAAGAATCATGCTGCATCATTAATACAAGCTTATATATATATATATATATATATATGAAATTTCATGACGATGCCCTCTCGATGGTAGGTCAATTACAGAACTGCAGTCACAGAGAAAGCAACTTTAGAAATAATTTTTTGATCGGCAGCAATTTTTGAAATATTAATTAACTAGAAGCTTTACTATTAATTATATAATCTAATGATAAAGTTATTTATATTTTTAATTTTTTGTTTGAATGAGTTTACATTTGAAAAAGAGAGTTTGACCTTAACTCTGAAGATGCAAGATGCATTTTACAACTTGACTTATAATTGTTAGGCTGTGAGCCACAAGTGTCATTTATATTTTTAATTATATGTTTAAGATGGTGTAAGGACAGGTCCGAGATGTCTAACCTCGAACGTACGACAATAATTCCTTTATAATCGGAGTAAAGAATAAATCCAACACTTCTTGCTCAAACAACTGTATGACAGCGACAATAAACATGCCCACAAGTGTCATTTATATTTTTAATTATATGTTTAAGATGGTGTAAGGACAGGTCCGAGGTGTCTAACCTCGGACGTACGGCAATAATTCCTTTATAATCGGAGTGAATAATAAATCTAGCACTTCTCGCTCAAACAATTGTATGACAGCGACAATAAACATGCCCACACCTGATTTATTATGACAAACTGCATAACAGTTATGATGGACATTCTCGCATCTGAATATCTCTCAATTTCCCAGTCCTGAAATAACCGTCTGAAAAGACACATCAGATTCCGATTATCTTGCTTGGCATGCCACGTGAGTTCCTCACTGAAACCTATAAATACCTCCTGGGGTCACATAAAAAAGGTAATTAAAACCAACCTTAAGCTCTTTTGATCTCCATTCTAAATGTAACTCCGATTATTGCTGATTTAATCATTAGAGTGTTTATCCTGAGTTCCACCTCAAAGCTTGGTAGGATCAATCGGAGTGTAGATGCGCATTGAAGAAAGACTTTTGATTTGGTACAATTACATATGGCTATTATTACATTTGCTAAGGTCACTCTAATTGTCATATTTTTATCTTAATTTAATTGTTAAAAATAATTAATAATTAAATAAAATAATTTTTATTTTCTTGGTTGCACAATTATGTAACCATTTTTCATTTCCTACTTCAATCTATCTATATATTATGCGATTCGAATTCAGAATCTTTTATTTTCAATGAAAAAAATAATTATTTAATTATTTAGGTCATTAATATTAAATAAAATAATTAATGTTTACTATTTAATAAAATAAAATTAATTTATAAATAAATATTTTCAAAATATTATAATGAATTATTAAATATAAAATTGTAAATTAATAAAATTACAATTAAAATTAATTATGCTAACAAAAGTTTTGGTGGCAAAGACTTCCGCACAGTAAGTGTACGTTTCCACAAAAATCTCCATCTTTAATCGCCATCAATCCCATCATCCTTCCACCGTAGAGTGCACGTAATTAAATTATTAAAATAGCTTCCCCGTCCTGAACGCACACATAATAATAGTAGAAAACAAACACCCCCACCTTTACGGACGCGACGTCTTATAGCCAGAACATATATACCCTACCATTTGGTACCCATCCACGACAGAGGGGAAGAACAGGGACCAACTTATCACTTATCTTGGAAAATCCCGGAGTTGTGCGTTTCAAACATCTATATATTAATACAATGATCAACAACGTAACAACGAGAACTGGGACCCATTTACTCGCTAATTTTGAGAAATTAAATATATAATGACGTACTTTTCACGACTCAAGGGGTAAGGCGTACGTTGTGGGACCCATTTATCACGGGTGCATATGCATATATAT